GTTTAGGAGCACGAAGATCTCTTACAGGATTTCAGGGTAAAAATACAGACAGATTTTTTTGCAATTACATATACCATAATATTTGTCCTATTTAGGTCAAAAGTTTGGAGGTATACAAGGTAAAGAATGCATAAAATAGCATAAAGAAACTAAAATCTCTAATAAAACTGTGGATTACAAACTATAAACAGCCTAATTTTACTTTAGCATCTCACTCAGCATGAGAGCTTCTTTTCATTCAAAGATTTTTTATAGGAGGTACTCAGCACAAGTTCCTTAAGAACCCAGTTTACTGACAGTGTTGGCGAGCACCGCTTAGAGCAAAATCCAGTTCCTCCTATTGCAATCAGGGTCCAGCATAGCCCCTGCTCTCCAGGCTGCCCCAGGTGCACATCACCCACCTGGCTGATGGTGCTCATGGCTCTCATGTAGCTCTCGTTGCGGGAGCGGAACTTGGGGGAGGTCAGCAGCCCTGCAGGGTCCAGGCTGTCCAGGCTCCTGTTGATGGAGACTTCACTCACTGCCCTCAGGTAACTGTGGCTCCGGATCTGAAGCTTTGGCGAGTGTTCACTGGATATCCTGGCAGTTTTGGGTGGGGGAAAACAAGAAAAGAAAGAAAGAAAAAAGATATTCCATCAAATCCTAATGGCCTCACCAGGAGTGAGAATAACCAGATGTTTTTCACTGGAACAGCATGACTTAAGCAAGTCATGACACAATCCTTGTATATTTATAAAATAAAGGCAATGTCAACACTTTTATTTGGATTACTCCACCCTTTTATTTGCTGGAAGGAAGAGAAAAGGACAGAAAGGATTTTCTTTTCATTTTTTGCAAACCATGTCTAAGCATAATGGCAAAATCATGTTCATTTGCTTTACTGATAGCAGAATGGAAAAAGATTACACTGTACTGACAATGACAGCATCCAGCTCCAACAACCCCCCTACCATTTCGAAGTGACAACACTGAAATTACTTCACGAGTTGATTTTAAAAGAGCAAGAGGAGCCATTGAGATGAGCAGCAGAGAAAGCCCTGTGGCCTTAACAGAGACGAATGCAGCAACCATCAAAACCAGCTGGGGAGGCAGGTAAAGAAAGACGAGGCCTGATAGTTCGACCAGCTGGATGATCCTAAATTTATCAACTGAACATCCACATCTCAAAATGCTGCTGGTGCTGTGACTCTGACATGTTCTCATGTATGTACTCATGAAACAGGATGGTTTCTCATGGGCCTTTCAAGGGTGTACAGGCCAATAGGGCAGGCAGATCATACAAACCATGAAAAATGCACTCACAGTATGCCTTAACCTGGGAAATCATTCCAACAGCATAGGCCACCTGATAAGGTTTGATATGCTTTAAATTTTATATTACTCCTGGCTTAAGCCACGACTTGACAAAATGTATGCTAGGGAAGTTGCTTTACACAATGATGTCAAGTTAGAAGTTTAAAAGTCACAGTTGTATTTCTGAAGCAATAACTTTGCCTAGTTTTTCAATACAAGTGACAGGTGAGATGTACAAGTAATCAAAACCCCTCCCCCCCCTCATTCCCCAGGGAATTTGTACTTCTGCTGTGCTCCTGCCATATGTGCTAAGAGTCAGCTAGAACAATCCTCCACCTGTGAGATGTTTTATTATCCTCTGAATGTGCTGGCTAAGTGCTGTCTTCACAACCTGAGGCATCCTATAAAGATGTGAGTCACAAAAAGTGTGTGAAATACACTTGTATGAAATACAATTAAATTGGGGGATATGTCTTTTGAAAGAACTCATCAATTAACAAAGTATCAAAAGGGTGAGTCTTTGATATATTTTTTGATTTTTAAATATTCTTCATGTATCACAAAACAAACTAATTAAAATATTAACTAAATTTTCCATTTTGAAATGTAAGTCTCATAGAGATGTCTACAGGTATATGAAAGAAAAAGCTGTAACCCAATTACAGGCTTAATCTTTGTCTCCTAGTCTTTAGAAATACATGCACAGCTGACCTGAAGAGGAGAATCCATTTTATGTCTAATTCCTGAAGCATTTGCAGATATTTTGTATTCAAGTATCTAATGATGGTAATTAGTATCAGCAATTTCCCAGTGGCATGCATAATTCTGGTAATTGTCAATGCATTTTGGGAGGACAATTCCATTGTGTAATTGCTCACCTAAGTAGTTCAGAAACTGGGTCTGTTTCTGAATGGTCCAATGCTGTAATAAAATCTAGGCCATCTCTACAATACCGTATTCTCTGGCTGCTAATTACCTTCCTAATAAAAATACATAAACTTATGCTAATTACTCAATACTCCTGTCACAAGATGAAGAGAAAGCCTTTGCTTGCCATTTTCACTGTGCACACAGTGCAATATAGCACCCATTTCCATACTCTTTCACTCCTTACACCACTTGATTCCACATGACAAAACCATTGGAGTAAGTGGTGTTCCAAACAACTCAGAAAAAAGGCAGAAAAAGTGGTGAAAAGTCAACTGTTAGTAATGGTTACATTTGTTTACTGCATTTTGGCAACTAGCATTAACCATGTACCTCTTTGAAGAAAATTTATTGTGTGTTATTGGATTAAAAAAATTAGAATGAATAATTCAACAAACATAATTTTTCTGATGCATGTGAGCTACTTCACCACACTGCAGATCTGCAAACTGATCAGCGCTGCCTGAAATGCATTTCCTAGATTGGTTCAAAATGTATTTTATGATTATAACGTGAAGAGTTTGCTGCCAATATGTGACATGCAAAATTCAAATAAGCTTGATTAGCTGCCAGTTAGTCAAATACGTCACCTGAGGCTTGTTGCTGCCCCCTGATTAGCTGAGCTTGCAAGAGGAGACTGCAGCACATCACAAGATTCAATGTGCAGATATTGCCAGCCAGAAATCTGCAAGTGCTGAGACACGTGCCCTTTAAAGAGTGGAACCAATATAACAAGATGCAAGTATCCGTAGCACAGAGATTTTGCTGTGCAGCCAGAGTAAAGATCGTGTAAGATACTCATGGAAGTGTCATGGAAAGCCACCACAAAGAATATAGAAATGAATTTTCTGGATGCATTAGTGTTGCATATTATTTTCTCCGCTTGAAACTAAGGAATTCTTCATAAGAGTAGATGTTCCCCCCTTTTTTTTCAGATGTGGATCCTCAGCACAGCTGCCTATTTTGTTTTTGTTCCTCACTATGCAACTGGCCAGTTGACACAAATCCAGAAGTGTATTTTACAGGAGGCTGTTTATCTTTATCTGTGCACACCTCCCATCTCTTGAATAAACCAGAGGAGGTAACTGGATGCTGTTGAAGGAGGTAGCTCCTTGCTTACTGATTGCTACAATCTCTGTTTCACTAGATGTAGTGGTGGGGGAAAAAAGGAAAATAAAAAGGATTTAAACGCAGAGAAAGAAACATTGAAGGCTTTCATTTATAATGATTACTGCTGCTTTTATAGCTGTGTAATAAATTGTCACTATGTCCTACAGTAAAGTTTAATGATCAGCTGAAATGCCACCGGAAATTTTGATAATATGGCACTTAGGAATAAATCTGACTATGTATGATGTGCAAGATCTGAATGTAAAATTAATTTTCTTGGAGTTACTATTGCCAGTAACGTGTAAATGAAAATACCTTTTTCTTCCTTGAGGGTTCAAGTCCATTTCTTATTTATCCTGCATTACCTAACTTTCTGTTTGTGCTATTGTAATTTCCACAATAAGTACCACATGCCAGGGACTGAGACTTTGGGACACCTCTTTGGCCTATACAAAATGGTCTTTTGGCTCCACTCACTGCATTGGATGCTTTAATTGGCAGAAGTGGGATGTGAATTATTCAGGTTCTTAAACAAGCTCCTCAAGCACGTTCCATCATTTCTGCACTGCTCTCACAGGTGGCAGGTCCTCACACTGGCTGCACCATGCTTTTTCCCCACACTGCTGCCCTTGCCCCAGGCATCACCCCAGAGGACGGGAACACAGCCACAGCAGCACCACTTTGATACCACACCGGGTGGGAGGTGCAGCACTACTGGATGTGCTTCCCAAAAACCACAGCAAGAGGCACCAGGAGGAGATGAGGGCTCTGTGTTGCTGCAGCTCTGCTGATTGCCGTCATGGGTTTCCCAAGGGGACTGACAAGAGAAGGAGCCAGCCCTGAGCTGAAGTGGGTGGAAATGGAGTCTGATGAGTCCCAGCAGATAAATAAATACTCCCCTGGGTAGAGGGAGGCAAGTGCCTCTGATCTGCACTGTGCATCAGAGAAGATAAAGGTACCCCGCCAATTAGGCCAAAATGCTACAGAAATTCCATAAGAACCTCTGAGAGCTAGGAGAAAGTTCATTTAATCAGAAAATATGTTCTAGTGAAGCATCTGAACCAGAAGATCATGTAGGTGTATAAAGGAAATCTTTGCATACTGCTCTGAGATTTCTGCTCTCTACATTTCAAGCACACTGACACCTATTCTCCTGTTTTCATTCAAATAGCGAAAAGAAAGTATTTAAAATATGCACATCTAATCACCCTACCACTGTTGCAACATGCATGGTGAGAAATGCTTCTAACTCACTGTTACAGATGTGTTTATATTTACACAATATTAACATGATTTACATGATTTAATTCAGATGAAAACACATTCTGGTCCCTTATTTATTTGATTATTTGTGGAGTAAGGATTTGGTTGGTGTAGGCATTTGTGAGAGGAGCTAGACTCAGTTGCTTTGCTCTGGAAGCTACAGGGGAGCCAGAGAGGGAGCCTTCATCAGGAACTGTAGTGAAAGGACAAGGAGTAAAAGCTACAAACTGAAAAAAGGAAAAATCAGGTTAGGTATTAGGAAGAAAATTCTTTGCTGTGAGAATGGTTCAACATTGGAACAGGTTGCCCAGGGAGGTTGAGGATGCCACAACCCTGGCAGTGTTTAAAACCAATTTTGATAAGGCCTTGAACAACCTAGCCTAGTGGGAGGTGTCCCTGCCCATGGCAGTGGGGGGAGGGGGTAGATGATCTTTATGGTCCATTCCAAGCCCTTAACACTCTGATTCTGTGATTCTACATCAAAGGCTTCAAAATGCAGTGTTAGCAATTAACAGTGAAATAACTTTGACTGTATTCTTGGAAGAGTTCCTATGCCTTGAAAATGTCTTTCAAATGACAAAGAGAAGATAGACAACAGGGATTTACATAAGCAGGCAATTTTAGTTTCAAATATTTCCTTTTAATTTAGGAATGCACAATGTACTCTGTCATATACGTGTTCTTTATAAAAAGCACTTTCATTGATCACACTTCATTTCTGAATGAAGAAAGGGAAAACCAAGCCTTATGATGGCTGCTTTGGTTTTTTTTTCCTTTTAGGCCAGACACAATATAATAAAACATAGTCCTGGGACTGTATTGTCTTCTGCAAATTCAGCAGCCAGAATCATAGCACAGTATGGTGTTGTGCCAGATGGGTACTGTGTTCTGCCAACAGAAAATGACAAAGCAAAGTAAAAGTCCAGAAACATGTCCTAAATGCTTCTGTAAGCCAGCAGAGTGTGCTAAAATTTGCCTTCAAACAAAGA